TGCTAAACACCGTAACAAACGCACGGTAAGAGCCAGCCAGCCTCTGGCCCAAAGATAAAGAGTCTAGAGCAACAGAGGATAAGGGAGAAGCAGAGAGGAATGTGAAGGTACTTGCCCGGCACTGCAGAGTGGGTCCAGGGACAAAGTTCAGAACCAAATCTTTTGCAATCCAGTGACTCTGAATTTAATGTCAGACCATACAAACATTTGCATGGCAGACTGTGAAAAGACTTTGCCACACTGGGAATGGCTAAACTACTTAAGAGATACAGAACTACTACCCCTGTGCTAAGGACAGGTTTCCCAAAAAGTCAAATAAACCTCCAGTCTCCTTCTCCTGCCCCCAGCCAATATGGGATCCCACAAGCACACTTTCTTATGGTACCTGTTTTTCTCTACCTTCTCATCATTTTTTAAAAGTCCCTCTCCTCTGGAACATACTAAACAATCGTAATACTTATAGTAGAAATTAGACTACTAATAAGTCCAATGTTGTGCTGTCAGTAGTTGAGACACTTTCTGTAATGGTTCAAAGGCAACATCATAAACTGTCACACGTGTAAAAGAGGCTGGAAATTCGGGACAGAGATAGCAATGAAACCCTTGCAAATAACAATGGAGAGCAGTAGTACCTATCTGTAAAATCATAAGCAACCATTCGTATCAGTGTATTCAAGCACCAGCACAACACCCCTGAGAAGCTCTATAGGTACAACTGAAATTTTATAATTGTATTGGCTCTGGATGCTTTTGATAAAAATAGTACTATTCTGCTTCATAGGCCAGAATATATGCTTAGGTTAGTATACAATGCTATATGGAAGATTTCAGCCTATCAAAACTACTTTTAGCTATACTATGAAATTTTAAAATCTTCCTGAAGTTTACCAGACTACAAGGTGGTATTACAGTCACCGAAGGAAATGAATGCATAGCTGAGGGGGGAAATGTTTTACAGTATCTGATAATACCTTAGGCATTGATAGGACATTTTTGTACAGGTTGAAAATGCATTCTTCATTTTTCACTGACAGCTGGTTAAAGGAGGAATGCAGTGAAAAGTCTATAAAAGCTTTAAAAAAACCCACCTGAATAGGTCTGCACTTCTGGTTTTCTACCGCCCATGCTAATAAGTGATGTGCAGTTGTTAACAGTATCTTTTGGCTTCAGTGCCACCTTGGCCTGTAACAACACCAGGCAATAGAGAGTTCTACAGCACTTCTTGAACCAGGAAAGAATGGGGTTTCACAGCTCTTTTTAATACAAGAGGGTAGAAATATCGGAAGCAACTTTTTACACATTTCTTTTTCTTCAGCTTGCATGAAGTCTACACACTGCCACTCCAGCAGGCTGGCTTTCATTCCTTCTCTTCCACTGGAAGACACTTTCTGTAGGTCAGCATAGCTAGTTTTGGAGTCTGTTCTTATTACTTTTGGCTCCTCCATGTCTGATACTGCTGATCATTGATTCCCATCTGACAAGTTTTCTTTCCTTGATTTTGCAATATTGTCCTTGCTTCTTTCTTCTCCTGCCTTTGTGGCTGCTCCTCCTACAACTCCTTTGGGAGACCATGTTCTTTCTTTTTCTAACATTCCCTGGGGCAGCTCTTTCCTCTGTTTCTAGTTTCTTCGTTTTCCTTCCTCACAACCTGCTCCTACACACTCTCGTCTCCTCCTGTGACCTCAGCTGCTCTCTCTCCATCAACAAATCACAAACCAGGCTCATCAGCCACTCTCCATCCATCCAATGCTACATATTCCTGAGCTTCACTAACATCTTCTCCTTGATTTCTCAGTGTCAACTTAAAGGGATAATGGCTAAAACTGATGACCTGACTCTCTTCAGTCCACAATTCTCTGTGAGTGTTGAAGTACTCACTTTTCCTCTGTAACTCCATCTCTAATAGCTCCTCCCCCTCTCTAAACCTTTACCAAAAGAAACTTGTACCTTCTCACTTTTTTTTAGTGTTACACTTTTGAGAGCATCTTGTTCCTTTCCATTTACACACAGTTTAGATGCAGGTCCTTATTAAGGCATCATCTCTCTTATTGTTTGTGACAACCTAGCAAAAAACTGTTTTACTAACAAAGAACTTCCTACAAGAGCATTTTCATGGATCTGTCCTTTCTTCCCCTCTTTTTTCCAGTGCTCCCTCCTTTCTTTGAATCCCTTCATTGGTTTCCTCTGCTCTGACATCAAGTCAAGGTTTGTTACACTCAGCTCTTTCAGTAACACTAGTAACTATTTTTCTGCTTTTTTCTATATGCTGTTAAGCATTCCATCTCTCTCTGAGCTAGTCCATGTCTTTTCTTTAAAAAATAAAACCTCCTGTAGAGGCTTCGTAGAGAAAATTTATCTTGTCGAGAAAAGATATTTGGTGATCTAATTTCCATTAGCAGATAAAATAGCTTTGATACTCTGTCATTGCTCCTGAAATATTACCACAAAATGAAACATCCTTATTATTCCTTTTACCCATGCATCTATGATTTATTATTAGAGTAAATGTATTCTTTCCTCTACAATATAGGCAGCAAAAAAAGATTAAAAAATAGGCTACACAGATTCAAGAAGTATATATCCATCAGTGGTCATCAAGCATGATGGTCCAGGTGTGCTTTTTCAGAAGCATATAAACTGATGATGGCAGCAAGTTGGAACATTATATTTGGAGAAAGAGTCCTGTATACCTGTCTTACTGGCCCATATGTTGGACACTGGTTAGTGGGCTAGTTGGGCATTTGCTCTGCTAGAGTCCCTACGTTACATTCCCACAGCTCTTATGTTCCTATAACTTAATGGGATAACCAATAAATCTTTCTGATAACCACTAAATCTTTCTGATATCGTCTATGCCCTTTGTCTTTTTCCACCCTTATACAAACCCTTCCCCTTTCTTTACAAGAGGGACTCACTTTGTGAACTCCTGTGGACTAGGATCCCATCTTATTTATCTGTCTTGAAAACTTCCCAGCACTTCTATGGGAACACCTAACATTCTGATTATTAATAACAAGAAAAATGATATTATGATGAGAGCAGCAGAACTGCTGCTGGCAGAATTATTTGCAATCCTAATTTCACATATACAACATGCTGTCCTGAACCTCTGCCCCTCCAGGTAATATCAGCTGGGGTTTTGTTTTGTTTTTCCTTTTCCAATTCTGCTGCAGGCAGTTTACTTTGCAGCTTCCATCCATTAATCTCAAAGTACTTTTACATAGAGGAATTAATTAAGACTCTTACATGCAAGAATTAATTAAGACAGTAGTAGGCATGTTTTATCATCTCCACGTTGCACATGGGGGAACTGAGGTGAAGAAAGAGTTGCCCAATTCTTTTGCAGAGCTGCGAATGTATTTAGGCATATATCATATCTTCTCAACCCAGTGTATAAAAATATCCTTTCTCTCCTAACGTTGTGAGGCAGATATCCAGTTTACCAAGTAAAATACCATTGACACACAGTCCTATTATTCAAAACGGAAAGGCTTCCCTCAGGCGAATACCTTGGCCAGTCAAATTTCTAAACACATCCCTCTTTCTTACTTCAGGCAGAAAGAAGTACACAGCACGAAAAGCAAACTACTGTAACTACTGTGGGATCTGATAACATTTATACTCTTCTAAAGAATCAACCCAATACCTGAAATCTGTAATCTTATCATCCCGCTTTAACAGACTCTCCCTCTTTCTCAGCATTCACGTGTATACTTCTGTTTGATAAAGAAAGAAATATAAACCTAATGACTTATGATTTTTATCTACAGTTCATAAAACCTTTGCACAGCTGACGCTGTACTATCACGCTTCTGAAATGCAACAGTGCCACCTTCAGATTATGCTAAATACGACTTTTTCACAAACCATCAGTATGGAAGAAGCACAGCAGTGATTCTTCTTTTCATCCAGACAAGTCCTGCTAGGAAGCCCAGAAGCACATGTATAAACCTGAGCAGAACCTCCACATTCACATACTGAAGCACAAATGTTCACTGGGAACAGCGGTCCTTTATTTTCATAAACAAGCATTAATAAAGAGCAATCAAATACTACTTTTTAATACCTGGCATATTAATTCTCTCATCATGAGAATGACAGCACATTCCCCTGCCACTGCACTACCAATGCACATTGGGCAAAGCAGCACATCAGCTGGGACCTGCTCCTGCTCTGCAACTTTCACGTAATTTGCCAACAGCTACAGTATACACTGTAAATATATATCTGTGTGCATGTATGTATATATCCTAGATACACTACACACATTACATACTGGATATAGTATGCATTATATCCCCCCAAAGGGCCCTGCTCTGAAAGAAACCTTCCAGAAAGTACGACCCCAGGTTGTCTTGCAGCCCCTCCCCACTATATAATGAGGTGCAGGTCTAGCACATTACCCATAGACACAGGTATACCTCCTGCCATGTCTCCTCCCTGCCAAATTGAGACTGTAAATCAAATGTGTATGATCCATTCTGAAGTTTCTTCTAAACCACAGCATTTGCCAGATCCCTTTTACCCTCAACAGAGGTATTTATTTAAAACTGAACCAGCCTGTCATTAAAAAATAAAACAGGGAACACTTTCAGTAAATTCAGTCCTGCTTTAAAAATTTGATTATTTTCCAAAAATTGGTGCAATGCTGTTTAAACAAGAAAGAACAGTTAATTAAATTTACAGTCTCTTTGCAGACATACTACATGTTTTATATTTGGTTTGATTATAATGGGCAAACCTCATCATTTTAAAGCTAAATCATTTGCATTTGTAATTAGAGCAAGTTCTGAAAAAAGTTAAAATACTTCTCAAATTAAAGTTTAGGCCTCTGGTATTTTGAATCTGTGATATTAGTTCAAATTACACATATTGGACTGGAGAATATTAAATCAATACAGACTTGAAAATCAAGGTGGGAATTAATTACTTGAGTTAATTTCTTCGACCTTGTTCTACATTACTGAGAGAAGAAAGTAAGCAGAAAACACTCTACTCACCCACTGTCATACCGTCCATGTAACGCTTGATGATATCAAAGGAATCTCTTAAATTTCCTTCTGTTATGTCAAATATGATATCTGCCTGGTTGGCCGGATATGTAGGTGTGATGGCACGAAGAAAAATAATCTCTGCAAATAAAGAGTATCACAGAATGGACTGAGAAGTTTTTGAAAACATCACTGAAGAACTCAACAGAATTTGATCGAAAATGACTTGTCCTCAAAGCTGGTGGAGGACACCTCCCCAGCCCCAGTCTGTCCTTTAAAATGGAAAGAAAGAACATCTGGGGAAAAGGAGGATTTGGATAGATTTATTTTCTCCTCCTGCACCATCCAAGAAGCCCTGAAGCCAAAACACTATTGCTTTGAGAGTCCAGAAAGACCACTCTTAGAAACCAGTCGGACTTCCAGCATGTACCCAAAGAGGACAACACTGAGGATCCCCAGGGTGGGCAGTGGAGGGGGACCAAACAGATAAACCCCAGAACTCTGATTCCCTTAGGCAGTTACACAAAGTATTGCCATTGCAAATTACAGAGTCCTTTTGAGTATTGGAGGAGGGGTTTAGATTTAAAAAAAAAAAAAGTGAAACTGTTTTTCAAGCCTCTTGTGAGGGAGGTAAGTATTAGCATTCTCATTATTATCCTCTCTCTACAGATGATGAAACTAAACCATGGAGCTGTAAGAATTCACCCAAGGCCATATGCTGAATTACAGTTTAGGAACATCTTCTAGGCTTCGCTAGTACTCTCAGCTCGCTAGGTCTCATCTCTTTTTATTAAATCATGAGGATGGACTAATGAGGGAACGGTTTGGGAAGCATCCTGGGCCAAATCCTTAGCTCTGCTGCCAGTACATCTGGTGAAGCTGAAGGGGCGTGTATGGGAGTAGAAGTGGCTACGGGGCATTCCTCCGTTCCCTGTGAAGTAGGGCCAGCCAAGGCCTGAAACAGGCCTGACACAATCTACAGCAGCTCTACGCAGCTAAGTTATTAGTGGTTATATTGTTCCTATACGAACGAGGATTTGGACCTCTCTTGCCCTACTCCTTCTGCCTGGTACAGAAGTGAAGAATCAGCTTTGGCTTTCATTTAGGACAACTTTCTGAGATAGCAAGGCTGAGACTCTGGGTGCATCAGAAGTAGGGATTTAAGATCTTGAAAAAACCCTCCAAAATAATCTTACTTTCCTCCATCCCCTTCTTCTCTCTCTGTGTCACACAGTAAGTTGCCGAGTGGCTCATCCTACAGAGAAGCAGGGCTGCAGGCAGTCATTCCGCCTGTGGATGTGTACGCAATCTCCAATGAAGCTGCCAGAATATGAATGCAAATGCCAAGGAGCAAAAACTGGCTCTTGATCTCTTAAGTTTATATGTGAACTAAGCAAAGTGAGTGCGATCCTTATGAAACTGCAGGACTTACTTAAAAACTCACAGGTACTGCAGAGGCCGAAGGAACTAAAGAAATACACGAATGCCCGTGAGAGTGCAGCATCTGGGGCTGGAAAACTCACTTTGGATGACTGGACAGCCACTCACTTGGATGCTTTTTGAAGATCTTATCTTAAAAACTTTCTGTCCAGTCCTTGGAATTTCCCTTCCTTTATTTTATATTTTAAAAAACAACACTTATTTTTTTCATAGGTCAAAAATCAGTAAATCACAGTCCTAGATAGCATATTCAATATAATGTATTTTGTGATTAACGTTTTCATGTAGATAAAGGCTATATTCTTGGAACAAGCCACCTGTCAGTAGCAAACAGACCATAAACAGATGAGAGAAATATAATGAGCACCTACTTCTTATGGCAAAATCTGCAAAAAAAGGAAGGAGAAAGTCATGGGGTACACTGCTATTATGGGAGTAAATGTGAATTATGTGGTAAATGGGAATTCAGACTCAGTATTTCCTTAGACTGGGAAGCTGTATGAGTTAGAGCTCAGAATGACTTTCTTTGCCCCATAAAATTAAAACTCCTGGATATCGAAGGTTTTAATTAAATGAATAGTACACTATAATTTGGAACTGTGCAAACATTTTACTGCACCGGTAGCTAGTCTGGCTTTAGGCAAGGATTTCCGGTGGAGGTTTTATATGTTGTAGTCTATTAAATGGAACAAGGAACAAACCACTTACCTTCAGGTCTTGTCAATTCTCTGAACGTGGGCAGTGAAATGACAGTGTGGGAAATTGTGTGGACTGGATCCAAGACACAGTTGACATCATTTGGTCGACAAGACTTAATGCAACGGATAGTATCTGTCTTTTCAAGTCTGACACTAAGAGAAACGAGAGAGAGATGCATATATATCCTGAAAATTAATTACTTTGTGCTTTGCAATCTGGGGAGCTAGAAACTGCAATTGATGTAAGTGTTCATTCTTCACCTCAAAAACTTAAGACAAATGCAGATCATCAGAACTGCTGGACCACTGAAAAATTTGGCTTGGCTAAGAGCTGCAGTCAAAACCCCCTCAAAGCCAGTTCTTCAAGCCAGGCATGTAAAACTAGGGAGAACTGTAGTGCATAAGATGCCATGTAAAGTCTCCTTACAACTACAAACAGGACCCAACAACTAGGGCTAGATCCTCAGCTGCAGTGCACTGGCGTGGTCTCACCAATTTCAGCAGAGCTACACTTACTTGCACAAGCCTTTTTGTACTCCATGTGGTATCAGTCACATAAAGCAGAAACAATTGTTTCCATTCTGGAAATCTGGCAGGAAATATCTGAAGGGCCAATTTTCTTTCACGATTTTCAGTGCAGCAAGAGCCAGAAAAGCCTCTCTTAAGTCTTTTTTTTCACGCCCCCCCCCCCCCTTCAATCTAAACTGAGAAAACAGAGAGGAATGGGAACTGGGGGAGGAAAAAAGTTAACCACATTATTTAAAACCTCAAAGATTGAATTCTGAGTTTGGGGAAATTCTCAAGGGTTTCTTTCCCGATCTTCAGTGCAGCAAGAGCCAGAAAAGCCTCTCTTAAGTCTTTTTTTTCCCGCCCCCCCCCCCCCCCCTTCAATCTAAACTGAGAAAACAGAGAGGAATGGGAACTGGGGGAGGAAAAAAGTTAACCACATTATTTAAAACCTCAAAGATTGAATTCTGAGTTTGGGGAAATGGTAAGGGTCATTTCATATTCCATCTCAACCAGCTGCTCATTCGTCCTTGAAAGTCTATTAAAAGTTAAATGACTTCTTCTCACCCTTGTCCACTAGAGTGAATTTAAAGTCACTTACAGTTCAAGAACTTCACACAATACCCGGTCTGTGTTCATGAGAGATGAAAGGGCTATGCTGGGACTTACAATGTGACTAAGCCCCACAAATGATCTCAACTTTGACCTGCCCATTTCTTCATATTTCTAAGTGGAAAAAAGAAAAGACTGCAGTGTCAGAGGGGGGGAATTAAAAGATTAAAAGGAAGAAAAATTCACTGAGTAAAAGGAAAACAAAAATGGAAGCTTTAGTTTGTCAGATACCTCTAGAAACAAATGGTTCTTGCTCTTTTCAAAATGTGTTACTCAAGTCCACACCTACAAGCCATCTTTTTTCAGATGTTCAAAGGGACTTTATGGCTCTATTAATAATAAATACTTCAGTAACTTATTATATGCTACCCACATTTGCTCATCAAAGAAAGCAAAGCCCAACACGCTGATATTGTATGAAGCTAAAATAAAGATAAAAGAGAAAACATGAATCAACATTAAGGAAATCATGCTTCAACAGATGTGAACTGGCATAGTCCACGGGAAGGCAATGAAGCTGGCTTAATTTACACCAGCTGAGTCTGGCTTGTTATTCTCACTCTGTAGTTGATGTTTGGAGACTGGCAAGGAGACAGAGGCCAGGAGAGACCTTTTACTTCCCACCTTTACCTGGGTACAAAATTTCATCATTTTCTAGACATCTCACAGGGAACAGAACAGGGCTTTCTGCTGAAATGCCTCATGCTGGTCATTTTAGAACAAATTAATCCTGGATATATGGACATAAGTCTGACCTACGATAACAGATTCCATCCCCTTATTTTAAAACTCAGCTGCCAAATTAAGAAAGGACTTCCAGCTAGCTGACCCTCAAACCTCTGAAATAAGGATCAGCTAAATTACATACTCTAGTTCCAGCATAAACTAGTCTATTTCAAAATACGTCACAAATAGAATTGAGGCAAAATGTACATCATTCATGTTTGTTTCCCTCTGTCTGTTTTTTTTTTTCCTTACTGTGTATAGAGGAGTTCAGTAGCCATTTACATCTATACAGCCATACAACCAAACACTGCATCTTTCCTCATGACCCCGCTTAGCTGGGGTCACAACAGCCAAGCCAGACGGGTTTTACTTCCAATAATGTGTTTCCAAATTCTGAAAAAGTTCTTTAAAAGTTTCTCTCTTTGTGTTATATAACACATAAATAATAACTATACCATCATCTAAAGGTTTTAGGGACACCTATAAACAGTAGCTTGCATAACTCATTTTGGGACATTATCACTAATGAAGTACCGGTACAATGCATACAGCATGCTGAATTTTCATAGCTGTGTTTAGATAATAGAATTTGTATGCAAAAACATTGTGGTGGGAGTGTCTGAAGTGTTCAGTATTGGTCTGCCATTGCTCCTTCCTGGGAAGGAAAGGGAGCTTTACTCTCGACTTCAGCTGGAACAAAATTTGGCAAACACTACAAATATTTCTGAAATTCTCATTCGATAATGCCATAAATTTGTTTAAGATGAAGTCGTAAGTAAGACTTACGTTCATAATTCTCACTTCTGATTCACTGGAGTAAAGCATTCTGACATGAATTAGGTACCCTGAATACAGAAATGGAAGATCACAACGATCACAATCGATACGTGTTAGCTCCTAACTAAAACTAGTTTCTAGATCCACCCAGCTTGTGACCATACATGTGATATAGATAAACATTTGTGTCAGCTCTACTTCATTGCACCATTTCTCTCTCCTCTTACAAATCCCACAACCTTTTTTTTTTGCATGCTCTGTCCACACTGCTAAACTTGGGTTTGTGCTTTCATTTTCCACTGCCTAAATATTCATTCTCCGATCTCCTTTCTTTTGATATCCCTGCTAGTTGCTTCAGCATATCCAAAGTGCAGTTGGTAACACTTCGTTCTCTCGTTGCTTTGACATCTTTAGACATCTGGAGCAACTTCTTTGACAACCAGCATCTATTTCAAATCCTCTTATTTGCTATTAATGATGTACTCTGATCTCAAAACACTTTTTATTTTATCCTTACACATCATCTTTGCATTTGATCTTCTGATTAGCTGACATTTTCCTTTTTGCTCATGTCCTCCTATACTGGGGACTGTGACTGACAAAAGTTTCCTCCTAAGTGCTGAGAACTTTCTGTATTCAAATCTTCCCTTCAAGTTTTCTCCCTCTAACAAAAAGTGCAGCTTTGGAGCTGGTACCTCCTCCAGGCCTTTTTAATTTAAAAAAGTTAAGAAACAGCTCAGTTGCTCTGATGATTTTGCAAATAATCCTTTCCTGAATATAATTTTTTATTTCTTCTTGGGTCCTGGTGTCATTCCTTTTCATATTCTCTGTTAGATTCAATTAGTAAGTTCTTTGGACCAGGAACCATGATTTCATTTTCATTTGGAAAAAAACACGCACATAAATGGTGCTACATAATTACACACATGTTCTTGAAAGCTGTAGCTACACTGCAGCATTAAAGCATCTAATACAGGAGAACCTGAGCTCCATGTTCTTGAATTACTTGCTGAATGCAATTAATATGGTAGTATTTTACAATACTGAGGGCCAAATTCTCGTACTCCCTTCTTTTCCTGCCAAACAAATATATATTAATACTTGCAAAAATGAAGTTTATTTTTGAATCTTATCCTACTTAATTATGGCCTCATAATGAACTGGTAGCCAGAGGGCATTTATATACAAGCATCTTCTGTGGCGGTAAGAAACCCCATTAGCTCAAGTAGCATGGGCTTGTGCTTTCAATATTTAAAGCTGGGACTCTATCCCCACTGGCAACTTCTGGCAGCTTTATAAGTATGTGTCAACAGACTTATTAAACATTGGCATTCCTCGTGAGACTTGAACTCCTGTCAGCCAGCTGGGATAAACTTTGCCTTAGGGAACATGTAATACTCTGGCAGAGTGCTGCGATCATGCCCCAATCTAGTCCCTGGCTGATGATGAGCCTGAGAGCCCACAGCTTACAGCTAACAGAGTAATTCCTTGTGTTCAGGTGATTAAGGCTTGTGATCTTGGTTTAGAAGGTTTCCAGTTTCTAACTTTGTACCTTGCCTGTGCTGCCTGTATTTACATAGTGAGGCATTTTTCATACGTGCATTCACATGGATTATTCCTCATTCATCTATGGACTGACTATTCTGCCTATGCACCGGGCAGCAGAGATATCTGGATAGCCCAGGATGGTGTAAAAGAACATTAATTTTTAGATCATACCTCTGGGACTGACCTTTTAATATTTATCAATACAAGGACTGAAGAGTAAAATAAATCTTCTTCCAGCTCACAAAACAAAAGAATTCCAAAGAAATTCCAGTTGTAGCAAATTCCATAGAAGTAAAGGAAGAAAGTCGTAGAAGTAAAGGAAGAAAGATGTGGATATTGGAATTCTGGCTGATCTTTCAGAGCTGCTAGGGTTTGGCTGGGGTTTTTTTGGTGGTGGTGGGTGAAGTCTTTACAGTTAAAAATGTATCAGCTTTGATATGGAAGTTGGAGAGACAAAAATGTTATGAGACCAATTAAATATCTTTTTCAAATGTTCCTGTAGACACATCTCAGGATATAGCCTGTGAAATAGAAAGGAGCTCTCTGCTACTAGCTGAATACTGTTAGGAAGTTCATTGCTGTCTTCCCATCATTAGTTTTTCAGTTCAGTGGGAATTCCACAGAACGGAAGATGAAAAATCTTTAAAATACATGTTCTTTAGAGGAGATTCTCTTTTGCACTGTCCTTAGAAGTTAGAACTGGGATCTGTACCTGGTGGACATCAGCACAAGCTCATTGGCTACAACACAGCAATGATAACTAGCGCAGCTTGAGAATCTGACTCCACACTTTCAAAGTGATTTGTGTGCTGCGGCACCTCTGAGGTCCTAAGGCCCTAAGTTATACCCTTTTAATAGATTTTCAGAAAATGCACAGTATTTGCCCCTTACGTGATGAAACTCTCTAAAGATGTCTCAGTTGAGACAACTCAAATTATGCACCTATTTTGTTTTAAAAATTTAGACCTAAACATATG